TGTTGGTCATGGGCCTTGAACGCAGGGCCTAGTTGCTGTCCCTGAGCTCTTTTTGCTCAAGGCTAGAGCTCTGCCAACTTTGAGCTGTAGCACCAATTCCAGTTTTCTAGTGGCTAAAAGGAAGATAGGAGTCTCACAGACTTTCCTGCCTGGGCTGGCTTCAAACCATAATCCTCAGATCTCAGCCTCCTAAGTAGCTAGGATTGCAAGTGTGAGCCACTGGTGCCCAGTGTGCTTGTAGGCTCTTTAAGTCATTTAAATTATTTTGCATTACCACTGGCTCTCTAACCTGTCCCACAAGCCAGGTTCTCTATCTTCAAATGCTTTTATAGAAACTGTAGCATTTAAAAAGTTTTCTTGATTTTATTTAGATACTCTCTCTACCAGTTGGAATTTAAAAATTCCCTTTAAAGTGAACATTTGAGCTGGGCTCTGGTGGCTCACGCCTGTAATTCTAGCAACTCAGGAAAGGCTGTGAAACTCTTTTTTTTTTTTTTTTTTGGGGTCCAGTCGTGGGTCCTGAACTCTGGGCCTGGGCGCTGTCCCTCAGCTCTTCAGCTCAAGGCTAGCGCCCTACCACTTGAGCCACAGCGCCACTTCCGGCTTTTTGCTTATGTGGTGCTGAGGAATCAAACCCAGGGCCTCATGCATGCAAGGCAAGCACTCTACCACTGAGCTACCTTCCCAGCCCCGAACCTCTTTATCTCCAATAAACCACAAGAAAATTGGAAATGGTGCTGGTGCTGTGGTTTCAAATGGTAGAGTGCTGGCCTTGAGCTGATGAGCTGAGGGACAGCGCCAAGCCCCATGACCAACCTCCCTCCCCGTCCCTCCACCCCCCCCCAAAAAAAAAAAAAGTCAAGGGTTGGAGGTATAATACTTCCTAAAGGGGGCTGGGAAGGTGGCTCAGTGGTAGAGCACTTGCCTTGCATGCATGAGGCCCTGGGTTCGATTCCTCAGCACCTCATAAGCAAAAAGAAAAAAGCCGGAAATGGCGTTGTATAAAGTTGTTTTTTTTTAAAAATAATGTAGTAGATGAACCTTGGAGGCAACTATGGAGGCTACTCTGGCCATTCCTGCGTTTGTTCTGATGGCCAAGGGAAGACATATCTCCACTCACTAATCACAGATAAGAGTCTCACTGACTTCTGTCGGCTGGCTTCCAACTACATTCCTCAGATCTTACCTCCCAGAATCTCTTAAGATTAGGTTATAACACCTGGATATGCCTTCCTGTCCCTTCCCTAGTTAAACCCAGGCTGCAGTTACCCTTTTCAGCCACAGTGTTTCCAAATTGTGCTGGGGTAATAAAATTTTCTCTATCCTCCAGGGAAAAAAAAAGATTATGGGTGTGAGCTATCAGTGCCTAACTCTACTAATGTTTTTCATTTATAGTATTATTCTACTTGAACTTTAAGTTTTTTAATTAATTTATTTTTAATTTTGCTGATTCTGAGGCCTGAACTCAGATCCTGAGCTCTGTCTCTGAGCTTTTTTGCTCAAAGCTAATATTCTACTACTTGAGCCACAGCTCCACTTTGGGTTTTTTGGTGGCTTATTGGAGTTAAGACTTTACTACCTGGATTTGGCTTTGACTTGAAATCCTCAGATTTTAGCCTCCTAAGTCACTAGGATTACAATTGTGAGCCACCAGTGCTCAACTAAAATTAGTTTTGATTAATTCCATTGGTATCCCATTAGTTTGAAGGAACTACTTAAAAATCAATTGATAAGTGTTCTTTTCTGTTTGGATCTTTAATGTGTTCGAGGTAAAATAGTTTCTATACCCCTATTTCTAGGCATTTCATATGTCAAATATGATAATTTTGTGTTTGGTAACAAACTAATTTATGATTTTTTAGACTGAATTTAGAACAGGTTATGGCATTTTTGTTCATGTATATCATACTTTAACATATAAGCAAGATTGGAAGGAATAAGTACATTTAAATGTATAATTTTTTTTTTGGTTCGGTCGTGGGGCCTGAACTCTGGGCCCGGGTGCTGTCCTTCAGCTCTTCAGCTCAAGGCTAGCGCTCTACCACTTGAGCCACAGCGCCACTTCCGGGTTTTTTCTTTTTGCTTATGTGGTGCTGAGGAATCGAACCCAGGGCTCAGGCATGCAAGGCAAGCGTTCTACCACTGAGCCACCTTCCCAGCCCACTAAATTTTTTTTTTTTTGCTTGTCATGGGGCTTGACTGGGCATTGTATCTGAGCTTCTTTTGCTTAGGGTTAGGGCTCTGTTATTTGAGCCACAGCACCACTTCTGGCTTTTTTCTATTTATATGGTACTGAGGAATTGAACAGGGGCTTCATGCATGCTAGGCAAGCACTCTACCACTGAGCCATATTCCCAGCCCTTAAATGCATAAACTTTTAAAATGAACTTCAGTTATTTATACCATTGCTCATTAATGCAGAAAGTTAGACACAGTAAGTGAATGGAAAAATGTAAACTCTTTGGAAATGATCAATTTGTACTTAAGATTTTATAAAATAATGCCTCTAATTAATACGATGATACTTCAAAGTAGTAAGTTACAGTTATAATGTATATCCTGCTGAGTGTCAGTGGCTGATGCCTGTAATCCTAGATACTCAGGAAGCTGAAATCTGAGGATCATAATTTGAAACCAGCCTGGGCAGGAAAGTCTCACAGACTTTCCTCCAATAACTACCAAAAGAGTTGAAAGTGGAGCTCTGGTCCAGTGGTTTAGAATGCTAGCGTTCAGTAAAAGAAACTGAGGGGCAGTGCACTGCACAGGCCCTGAGTTTAAGTCCCAGGACTGGCACACACATACACACACACACACAAAGATAAATCCTATGATGATTTTCTTCTTATATTCTAGTTGGAACCTGAGTAGTGTGGTATTATTATTAATTATTATTATTTGGTTGGTTGTGGGGCTTGTACCTGGCCTGGGCGCTGTCCCTGAGCTCTTTTGCTAAAAGGCTACTTGGAACCATAGCACCACTTTTAGTTGTCTAGTGGTTAATTGGAGATGAGTCTCACAGACTTTTCTGCCTTGTCTGGCTTTGGAACATGAGCCTTAGATCAGACCTCAGCCTCCTGAGTAGCTAGAATTGCAGGCCTGAGCCACTGGCATCTGGCTAGTATGGTCTTTTATTATGTGAAATTTTTTGTTGCCATATTTATTTATTTATTTATAATTTTTTTTTTTGGTTCGGTCGTGGGGCCTGAACTCTGGGCCTGGGTGCTGTCCCTCAGCTCTTCAGCTCAAGGCTAGCGCTCTAGCACTTGAGCCACAGTGCCACTTCCGGCTTTTTTTTTCTTTTTGCTTATGTGGTGCTGAGGAATCGAACCCAGGGCCTCACGCATGCAAGGCAAGCGCTCTACCACTGAGCCACCTTCCCAGCCTTATTTATTTATTTCTTAAAGTATCTAGTCCCCTCTTTATTTTCATTTGGTCACATACATTTTAAAAACAAAACAAAAAAATGTAAATACTCACCAAATAACCAAACACCAGAAATTAGAAGGGCTTACAAGATGACAAAATGCTCCAGGTTTTAGGGCAGTGCCGGGAATTTGACTATTGAAAATGCCTTTGTTCAAAACACAAAGATGTTTGGTTTTAGTGGGAATTGGTTTTAGAGGAAACTATGTTCTTTTTTTTTTATTGTAAAGATACTATACAGAGGGTTACAGTTACATGAGTGAGGTAATGAGTACACTTCCTCTTGAACATTGTTACCCCCTCCATTGTTTTCCCCATACCATCCCCTCCCTCCCTCCCTTCCCCGAGGTTCTTTTTTTTTT